CAGAAACAATCAAGATATTCTTCGACAAGTTTCCAATGGCTCAAAAAAAATGGTCAAAACCAATTACACATCCATAATTTCAAGAATTATTATTTTAAGTACTCAAAGATCAATTTGTCTTCAATTAGCCAAACTCAAGTCCAGACCAGTCATAAATAAAACTTTACAATGGAATATTCTTCCACCATACTTTATCAAAACCCCAAAATAAACAACACCAATTTGGGTAGTAGTATTATTTGGTCCAAAAAAATTTTGAGAATCACAAAAACCTATATGATCTATAAAAACTTGTCTGTAATCAAAACCTTCCAAGAAGTCTTAAATCCATATTGCCTGGAATTCCTTACCAAATTCATCAAGCAAATCAGAGGTATATGAAACAACTCCTACAGTAATCTCATATCATTCAGAATTAAACTTCTATCAGGAACACTTCCAACATGAGCCTACTGTGAACATGATTTTTGGCGAGTCTGTTGCTTCTTGGACCAGCACTCACGTAATGTTCAGGTGGGTAGGTTTCTTTAGTCGAGGCGTGTGATTTGACTTGGCCGGGTTTTCTTTTAACTACTGTTTCTCTTATTCCTCGCTCTTGTGCTTTTACTGATAATCTTTTGCCACCGTTCCTTCACAGCCATTCGGATTATCCTCTTTCCAAGCTAGCGGTACTAAACGAGGTAAGTTTATTAATTGGAAATTCTCTTCTTTGGCGTTGTTGATCGCACTACTAATTTAGCAATTTTTTAATTAGTTGTCTCACTATAGAGTGCGATACTTTTGGGTGTTCAGTTTTTCTTGTTTTTATTTTTCAGTTCATTTTTCATTCTTTTCTTTTACATGAGTACATTGTTCTTTTATAGCCTAATGCTATGCTAGAATAGACTATCGCTGATGTCACAGATTTAAACTTTTTAAGCTTACTAATAAACTATCGTCTAAACTATTCCATTTTCAATATCATATATCTGGGTTTTAGACACGCGATGTGCGAATCGTGTTATGCATCCATCCCTCATTATACCTTTCCCATTCACACTACCTTAATCATCTATATTTAGAACAGTATCTAGATCACTTCTGCCCAAGGTATGAGCTCAGAATTGAAGATATCAAACATGTTTTCGAATGCATCAAAGCAAAGAACCATATAGCTCGAATTATCAACAGTATAAACAGCATCCTACATCCAGACCAAAGTAACAAATCTATAGATCACATTTGGCAAGTAATCAAGCTTTCGTATGGTCTTATTAACAATATACATTCCACAGCAAATACTATTACCTGGACCAAAACAGTTTCTGAAAATCTCATGCTACTTTATAATCTAATTTAGAAACCAAGATGTAATATAGCAAACACATCTCCCATTACTGAAATTAAATGAAATTTGAATCTCTATTGATTAAAGATCAACAATAACAATAACAACACCAATCCAAAAAATTCAAACTAAAAAGCATTAAACTTCAGATCTAATTCAAATTTTGATAGTGAGCTAATGGTGGATTTTCCATCTTTAGTTATAAATGAATTCATTAATAGCAATTACAACTCTACTCTATACTACAAAAACTTAATATCTAACTTTAACAATCTCATCAATAACCTTGAGTAGGTATTTATAGCTGCTTGGCACTATCTCAGATGTGTAACAGTTTTAATATTTATTTTTTTTACCACTAAGATAGTTCATATAGGCAAGCTAGCATTAAATTTATTAACTAGTTAATTATATAAGAGATGTTGTTGCTTTCTCCATGTATAAATTTCAAACAATTTTATGATTAATAAAGTGATAATGTTTACCTATAAAAAAAATTTTTTTTTATTTAAAGTCTTAAAAAAAATATTTATAAAAATTAATTATAAATTATATATATATAAATTAATATAAAAATTTGATAAAATTTTTTTGTTTTTTATTTTTATTTTTATGTTAATAAAAAATTATTTATGATATATAAAAATTTATAAAAAATCTTTTTATAATTTAAAAATAAAACTGCACAAGTTTTTATTATAAAATTTTTATTTATAAATTTAAAATTAATGAATTATCTAATATTTTTAATATTTTTTTTTAATATTTTTTTAATATTTTTAAAAATATATTATAAAGTTTTAGATAAATTTAACTAATTTTTTATTAATTTATAAAATAATAATTCAAGCAATTCAAAAGATTTAAATTAAAATATTATATGAATAATTAATATTTAAATTATATGTATTATAAAAAAAAAAATCAATTCATATTTTTTTATAATATTAATTTAATTTCTATTAAAATTTCTATAATTTATAATAAGAATTAATTTATATGATTTAAGTTAATATCAAAAATTTGCTTGCAATAGGCTACAATTAACACGTATTCTTGAAATATATATTATAAATATATTGATTATAATTGAATTGTCTAATAAAAATTATGCATTTAATGCTTATTTGCAATAAATATAAATAAACAAATAAATACAGTATATGATAATTTACATTTATAAAAAGTTATAAAATTTTCAGTTATAATAATATTTTTTGCAAATAAAAAAAAATCCACAATTTTTATTGTTAATATTGTATTTGAAATATAGAAAATATTATTTTGATAATTAAAAAGCAAAATATATATTACGCTGGTACATGTCTTAAAAAATATTAGTTAATGACACAAGTGCAACTTAGATATTATTTGATATAATTATTTTATTTTTGACAAGAAAAACATTATTTGAATGAAACCAAAAAAAATAAAATGCATGTCACAGATGAGAGTTGTAATCCATACTAAAGTAATATATACTTATGATCTAATTAGATTATAATTATACCATTTCAAATGGTAAAATACCTTTAAAAAATTTTTGACATAAATTGTAAAATACTATAATAAATAATGACAATAACAATAAAATAAATAAATACAGTAAAAATGTAGGATATTTTATAATCTGCAAGGAATCTGTGAGAATAAATGAAATCACACTTATGGTATTCGTGGGATACTTGATAAATGGAAAAAAATTTTACCCATAATAAACATGCACATATTATCTCATTGAGACTTATTTTTAATACACAGTACATATACGATTATTTTAGTTAAATGTATTTAAAGGAAAATAAAGTTCATAATGGTTTATTATCAAATAACAGTGTTCTGACGATACATTTGTAAATCCGAATATATGATTCATTTGTTATTTGTTAATAAAGTTATTTACTTAGGATGGATGTACAGTATTAGATAGTATAATCGAAAAAAAAAAAAAACTTGAAAAACTCAGGTGTAATGTTACATAATCTGTAGAATTGACCGACACGCAGTCAAAAATCGTGGAAACCGCGACTTAATACGAGTTACAATGATAAAATCGGCGAAATCGGCTAATTTCTCGCCTAATCTTTCGCCTAATCAGACAATTTGTACTGAATCCCCTGGATCGTAACCTGAACACTTCTAATAATATGAATATGTATACTGTATGATGTAAAAGATAAGAGAACGCGATTTATTTACGTGACCAGGATATTCCGAACGGAAATCAATCCGCGATACCCTCCTTGCTTAATTGACACAATGGTGGGAAAAGGAGTGAATTATGTAATCAAGTGATTAGCATATGATTTTCCGTGATTCCTCACATTCAGTATTCCAAAATAATCTATCGTATAGTTTTTCATAGCAACATCATTCATTATCTTGCCATCGTGAAAAATTTCGAAATATATTACCTAACATTTTATCATATATACCGAAATAATATACAGTACATTCGAACGTTAATTAAAAGTCAGTATATAGCGAATGCGCGTTCTGATGATTTAACAATTTCAAAATTTTATTTGTCATCTTCTTGGGATTTGGTGGTAATGTGTGATTAGGGATATCGGAATGATCGATTCCGAATGACCTCATGTTACGCAATCGACAGGTACGAGGAGGTTTTTTAATTGATTAAGAACCATTTTTGTATATTCTTAATAGAACTCCTTAAAATCGTGCGACGAGTAATGTAGGATTTTTCCGACTGTCCAAATACAGCATATCAATATGCTCAAACATCCTTTGTTTGGATAAATTCACTATCAATTTACGCGATAGAATGTTCATTACCATTTAGTCATTCCTATGCCCAATAAAAATATGCCCAGAAATTTGATTGATGCAAAACTGAAATTATTCGATAACGTGATAGAAAAGTTTTTTTCATTCCATCATTAATAAGGTTCTTGACCAAGTCTGAGACTTGATTTTTTACGAAATTAAATTTGTGTTATAAACATCACTGCAAGTTTGGTCACTTTCCATGGGATAGCCTGCTGGGTCACATCCTATCCATTGTGTACTGTGTTTTACGGAGATACAAGGAACACGAAAAAAATATCCTTTTTAGTGTTTAGTAAAAATGGTTTTCCAATTGATGTCAAATTATTTCCCGTGTAAGACATTCAATGACAAATGAAGTCTGTCACACTTGCGAGAGTCGAGAAATCTTTAATAATTTAATTCCACAAAAGTAAATGTATTTCATTATATTCATACGTCTGAAAGAAAGGAAACCAATGGAATGCTAGGATAGCGATTAATCAATGGACCAAGGGTAAAAGGTGAAGCCAACAAAATTACCTCCTTGTGGCTTAATGATGAACTTGCGCTTTATTGTAATTTTCAGATTATGCCGATCTTTTTTTTTAAACACGTTAGGAAGAAAGAAAAAAAAAAAAAAGAATATACTGTATATGTACAGTATATTTAATGTATAAGTACGGTACATTTTACTTATACATGTTTTGATTTGCCAGATTAACTTACGATGAATTAAAAAGAATACGAGTAGTAATGTGACGAGAAACGAAAATAAATTTGCATATGACAAAAAAAAAAAAAGATTATGATCACGAAAAAAGTGATATTAGATTTATCATAGGGTATTGCAATAATTATAAAAGATGATGTTGATAAATATCGGGAACTTTGAGAAAATATTAAATCAAATTCTGGTGTTTCTATCAACCGAATCTATGAGCGATTTGTCGTAAGAAGATAACGAATTGATTTGCAGTCGGTCAACTGATGGTCTAAATGAGCAATGTGAAGTAAGGTCATTAGCGACATATTCATCGGGTCTCGATCTGCAAATAGTTATGGAAGATGAGGGAGACACATTTTTTCGTTGGTCCTGAGAGATTGGCATAAAGAAAGTGGCCGAATATCTTTCGATCATTCTGCCGCTCCCACAATGGCCGTCATATTTTTTCATTGGTTTGCAAATATAATTTGGAGACATCCTATCATGCAGTTTTTTGGTACACGCAGCAATCCGATCGTACATGTATTTATCCTCGGGCGAGCAACTCCTCCAAAAGAGACTCGCGCTACGAGAAATTTCTTTGAGACGCGAACCGATTTCTGGCCCCTGCTCAGCAGTTATACGAGCCTGATAATCTTTTCTAAAGATTATAAAACTGTTTTGGGAACGAGTTGCGGTACGCTTTGGACGATTGCTGGGGAATATGAGGTCATGAAGAGGGAGGAACACTTTGGATTCGTACTTGACACGTTCTTCATCGCTGAGTATCGAATTAATTATGTCGTCAATGATTTCTGTGGTTATCCCTTGATATCCAGATCGTGACGGATAATGATGACGTTGAGCAGGTTGAAAATAGCGTGTGTTTCGGGGTTTGGTCGCCAGGTTTACTGGTGTCGGGCGAGGCGTGCTTCTCTGATATAAATTGACCTGGTGGTGAATAGACGTAGAGGCTGGATCCTGATGAAAAGAATTAAACGTACTTTGACGCGTCGAGTCATTAGGATGGGACGCATACGACATCCTGAGAATGAAGGGAAATAGAAATTCTTTTGAAAATAAATTAAACGTCGATATAGCACTTTACGTGAATGTGATGACACCAGTTGAAGTAGCGGTTGATAACGAAATCAAAATTTTTTCAGCAATAAATATATATCATTTCTGACGGTTGGTTGCCAAATGAGTGTATCCCATCAATTTTATTCATTGTAGTCTCTATTAGGAAAGGTGATTAGAAATGCTAAGAGATGTAGACCTCAAATTGGAATCTTCTGATCTTTGAATGGGACCGTTGTACCATTATGACGGAGACATGGTCTACTGAGTGATTTACCCTTAAACATTTTGAGAGAACATAAATTACTCGTTATACCTCATGACTTGACCTAACCAAAAAAGAGTTGGATTGATTTTAGTCAAATTAAAAAAAAATTTTTTTTCTATGTTTTGACTATATTTTCGTTAAACAAAATTTGAGGTTGCTCAATTATGGAAAATAATAGAGACCATTTCTTTTAAACAAACTTTAGTTCTGTTCCATTGTCTGGATATGTCGCTCATATAATGTTGTGCAGGAAAAGCTGTAGTACGACGTATTTTGTGTTGGACAAAAATTCTCCAGATCGATAGTTTCCTTCGAGTAAAAAATTTCGAACGAAAGGTTAAATGAGATCTTAAAGCGTTCATGGTCTAAACCTGAAATGACAGTGTAGCTTAAATAGGATTTACATTTAAAGTTAATCACGTCACGTCAATTTTAATGTTAAATTAAATTCCATGAGATGCAGTATTGTGTATATATAGGATGGTGAACACATTAATGATTGGTTTCAATGCTATGACGCGTGGTCACATCATTTGACGTGCGATAAAAAAAATAAGAAAATCATCTTTACTTGTAAACAAGATATAAATTATCTGGAGTAAATGGATTTTTCCTATTCACGCTCAACGTGCGTGATTTTCCACGTAGCACGGTTCCATACCTCGAAATGCATCGGCTCTCTTTCCTCCGCAGAATTTGGATCGGTCCGTGCACGTTGACATACTCTTTATTCAAGTCACAAGGACACCTACGGGGTTCATTAGGTTTGATGTGCTATGCCCTTTAATATTGCCGTATATTGTAATAACCGTCTTACCGTGCATATTTCTATTTTTCATTGTCTACAGGTTTTTACTGGTAGATTATCTTCTAAATAAATCTGTGTACACTCATTTTTTTTGTAAATAGTGAATTATGAAGTCACAGTATGTACGTATCAATTACTGCAATTGTTCAATAATATAACATTATGTAATAACAACATAGGGACCAAATCGATCTTTCATTGAATTACAATATCTACTGTATGAACAGATCGATTATTAAACATCTATACGTACATCGAGTTGTAGATTGGAGATTACTCTAACCTTTTTTGGTCATGTCCTTAATGCATGCTCGAGATCACTCTAGCCTTTTTTATTCATCTGCAGAGATCTATGCTTCGTGCAAAAGACCTTAAAATATTATGATAAAATTCATTCAAAAAAGCACAAGTACAACGTTTTGAATCAAATTTCAATGATAAATTCTTATAAAAGATCAAAGATAAAGTTTTAAGACCGCAAAACATCAAAATATTATGGTAATATTTATTCACATTATTTTCTAGCGGAATTTCCATAATGCAATAATCATAAAAATTCACGGTGTATACTGTAATACCCCTCCCTCGAAGAATTCTTGTCAATATGCTACTACTGTTTAATTAATTTTAGACAAAATACTGTATTGGTTTCATGTAAGAAAAAAAAATTTTTTTTTTCTCAAGTTTTACTGTTTATTTGACTTAACATTTATCATGACATGATAAGAAAAAAAAAATATAATAATAATAAAAAGAATCACATCAAGATAATTACAAATTTTAAAAATAAAGCAAAAATGGATTTTTATTATTCACCAAAAATGGTTGCTTTAAATTTTCCTTGTTAAGAACTCTCCTTTTATACATGGAATCAATAAATAATCACTACAATGATTTGAAATTAATGCGGTAAATAAATAAATAAATAAAAACAATAATAATAAATTGATTAATTTATATAAAAAAAATTCATTAATGTTCTAAATATTTACTATGCATAATAGCAATATCACAATGATTCAGAACTGTGACTTTTGTCAAGCAAATATTTATTGCATATTAAGCGATACCCGATCACGGCATTCACGCTATTGACCTTAAAATTCCTTTTTCTATTATTTATTGCATCGTTGCTTCTGTGCTTCTCTAACCTTATCAAAAGCACGAGCAAAATCTGCCTTTATGTCCTCGATATGTTCAAATCCAACTGAAACACGGATCAGATCTTTTGTGACGCCTGCCTCTAGTTGCTCTTGATCCGTAAGTTGTTGATGAGTGGTCGCGGCGGGATTGATTACTAGGGTTTTGGAATCTCCGACATTGGCCAAATAACTGTTTTTTTACAACAGATAAAAAAATAAATATTTCAAAAAATAATAAAGGCCTTAGAGTGAAGATCAATTACCTGGCGAGTTTGAGATTATTAATAAGTATGTTACCAGCTTCCATCCCTCCGGTAACGCCAAAAGCCAAAACACATCCATACCCGTTCACTAAATATTTCTTTGCATTTTCATGGTATGGATGCTCTTCAAGGCCTGGATAGGAAACCCAACTAACAACATCATGTAAGGTGTTCAACCATTTTGCAAGTTCAAGAGTGTTGTCGGCTTGTCTTTGAACTCTTAATGAAAGTGTTTCAAGACCTTGTAATAATAAGAATGACCCAAAAGGATTCTGACATGCGCCAATATCACGTAAAATTTCAACTCTAACCTTGACAGCAAACGATGCATTCCCGAACGCATTCCAGTATCGGGTGCCATGATAGCTAGGACTTGGTTCTGTGAAACCTGGAAATTTTCCATTATTCCAAGGGAATCTTCCACCATCAATAATGACGCCGCCAATGGTTGTACCATGACCTCCAATCCACTTTGTAGCGCTATGAACGATAATATCAGCTCCCCATTTAAATGGTTGAAAAAAATACCCAGCTATTAAACATTGCATTAGTTTTTTTTTTTTTTTTTCTATAGTGGTTCATTCAATTTACATTTAGAATAGATAAATAAAACCTGCGCCAAACGTGTTGTCTACGACCAGAGGAATTCCTGCATTATGAGCAATCGTCGATATCTCCTCAAAGTTAGGGATATTAAACTTTGGGTTTCCAATTGTTTCAATAAATATAGCTTTTGTTTTGCCATCGATCAATCTTTTGAAGTCATTGGGATTATCTCCACTGACAAATTTCACATTAATTCCTAGACGTGGCAACGTGACCTAATTACAATAACGAAGATGAAATGCTCTAGAAAGAACATTCGACTCTAAAATTTAAGTCGTGTAGCTCACCCACCTTAAATTGATTGTAAGTGCCACCATATAGAAAACTTGTTGAAACTATATTATCTCCAACGGTGGCTATTGCTGCGATAGTCAAAAATTGCGCAGATTGGCCAGATGAAGTGGCCACGGCCGCGATGCCACCTTCCAAAGCTGCGATTCTTTGTTCAAACATGTCTAGGTAAATACAGTATGTTACGAAATTGGTTGTGAACCCAACAATGGATTGACCAATGAATCAAAAGAAAAAGAAGATACATTACCAGTTGTCGGGTTGCTTATTCTGCGCAGAATTACTGAGGTAATTAGTAAGTCGATAAATATTCGTAGGAATTATTAAAAATACCTTGTATATATATTGACAGGTTCAGCGAGAGAAAATGCGGCTGCTGCTTGGTTAGTATTTCTAAATACAAATGATGTAGATGCGTAGATCGGAGGGGCTCTGGCATTAGTGGTAGGATCGGGACTTTGTCCAGCGTGAAGTTGAAGTGTTTCGAACCGATAATTCAATTCATCCTCCATTTTCTTTTTTTTTTTTCATAAAAAAATTTTCAGCAAAAGGTCCAATTCTTAAAAAGTCGATTAAATACTGACAATGAGTAATGTGAAAATCACGCCGTATTGATAACGTAATAATTGTGTAAAAGGATTTCTAATCACACTATACAATTATCTGCATAAAAATTAGAAACAATGAAATATAACGAAGATATAAAGACTATTATTAACGTTAAGTAACTGCGCCCAGGGGAAAGACGTAAACCTTATTATCAATCCGAACGGCACGAAACTTAATAAGCTACTATGCCCCTATAAAATTTAAACTCTTGCTTAAAAAAACAACAACTAATGTGTGGTCACCCATTGAAGTAAACCAAATTTACAAATTCGTTTGTTTTTTGATTTCGGTGAAAACTGAATTTTCGACATATTATTTTTGATGATGTACTCTTCACCATTTCACATCACAAATGCGATTAATAATATATATATATATTATAACATATTTATTTATTTATTACAGTTTATTAAATATAAATCATTTGGTGTTAATTATAAATTATTTTAAAAAATATCCAATAATATTAAGATTATTATTATTAACCAAAAATGGCCTATGGTTTATGTGTTGTTACGTAAATTATTGAATTATTTGATTGGTGCAAACAACCTTATCCAATTGGTTAATAAGAATAAATAATTGTCAACCCGATTTTTTACAAGTCTAAGTTGTGTAAGAAATAATAATATTATTAAAAATTAAAGTATTGTTATATAAATAATTCAATATCCTATTTTAATTAATTATAAATAAGAATCAAAGTATAAAAGTAATATTAATGAACATGGTAAATCATTTTAAAAAACGAAAAAAATTACAACGAATTGTTAAAAGTTCTTTTTTTATTTAATTGAAAAATAAATAAAAATGGTTAAACCGGATTATTGCTTTAATCAAAAGTTATATAATATAAAATATTTTTTATATTAATTGTATTAAATTTTTATCATATTGTATATTACACTATATTTCAAATATATAAAATCAAAATCTAGTTAAATTATTAAATAATCGAAATTGTTATAAAAATTTTTATTTATATTAGATTTTAAACTATAATCAATACTGTAAATCAATATTATTTTACTAAATAATTTATATCAAATTGAACTAATAAAAAAATTCAAATCATCTTTTAAATAATTTTAAATTGTTGATTTTTTATAACTTTTTATAAATTATTGATTAATCAAAATTATGAAAAATAATTATATATTATAATTCTTTTTGTTTTTTTTTTTAATATGAAAATAATTTTTTACATATAATTGGTTTTATTATATAATTACAAGTATTATTGAACTTTATATAAATTAATGTTTATATGCATATATCTTTTATAAGTAAATAAATTTATATTTTATATCTAAAATAATATATATATTTAACTTTATAAGTTAAAAACCAACAACAACAATAATAAATATTTATTTATCTTATAATTATTGAAAAATAATTTATTTTTATTTTTTTTTTTAAATATTACTAAATTTAACTTATTAAACTTATTTATATTTTAAATAACTTTTATTATGTTCAAAATTAAAAAAGTTTGATTTTAATATAAATTTTAATTTTTTAAAAAAATATTTTTAGATTAATTAAATAATTTATTTAACTATTTTATTAAAACACTTATTTTTTAATAATATAATAATTATATGGTAATATAAAATTTTTAAAAAATCTGTAAATCTATAGTATAATAATTTATACTTTATAAATCAGATCATAAAATATTAATTTTAATTTAGGTAAAAATAATTAAATAAAATTAATATAATATCTAATATCATAAACTGTTAAGTATTATTTTTTATAAGAAGCTAATTTATATGTTAATTCAATAAATATTAAAATTGTAACCTAACTATAAAATATATCATAACATAATAATTATTTAATTAATATTACAATAATTACTAGAAAATATAAAGATAATAAAGATATTTAGTTTTAAATAATAATAATTTATCATATTATGTTTCTATAGTATCTAATATCTTTTTCTATAGAAATTACCATAAAAACTTCATATTTTATTGCTTTAACAATTGTTTCTTCAAGATTAAACAACTACAATTAGTACTAATAACTAAAATAATCTATAAACAGTTAATTAACATAAATATTTAATTTCTTAATTACTTAAAAATAATATAATATAAGATTTAGAATATTTTTTCAAATTAGTATTTTATTATTAAAAATGGATATTATTTCAAATTTTCCATATTTTATTATTAAAAATAGATATTATATATTTTTTGCATATAGTGCAGCTTTGGTAATTCAGCACTTTTGAAACTTTTCTAAAAAACATATTAGACATGTTTATATTGCATGGCTTACTTGGATTGACTCTATTTCTATTTTAATGATAGTCTTGGTTTTTGGATGTACATTTTGGTAATAAGTAGCTTTGTCATAATAAGCTTCTGTCTGTCTGCCAGGTTAAGGAACTTGAGGTTAGCTTGAGAGTATATGATTCTATCTGAAATGGTTTTTCCTACTCTAAGTTTTGCCTTGATTGTACTGTTTATTTTGACTTGTATTTTTGTAATTTCATATTTGGACAGTAAGACTGAGTGCATGGTATAGTCAAGTTTGCTTGATATAATCTAATTGATTACTTGCTTAGTTATTGGTCCATTCTAACTTTGCTTGTTACAGGCTGTAATAATCTGATTTAAGTCTTTAACTAGGGTGTGTTTCAACAGATTGCCAATATTATTGCTTGAGAAATAATTACCAAGATAATGTATTGTTAACTTATATGAAAGGAGGATAACTGTAGTGTTAAGAACTTTGAGAAAGATATTTCTATTGGAGTTGTTATTGTTTAATGTTGTAATAAATGTAGTCTTGTCTGCATTATATCTGATGTTATTGAGACTGAGAAACAAGCAAAAAATATTAGTAAACTCTTGAAGTTTTGATATTGAATTTGTTATTAAGAGCATATTATTCATATATACAAGAATATTGTATAGAATTTGTAGATAATTTTGATAATTAAATATAGTGGTTATCAATAGGTCATAGAAGATTATCCATAGTAATGGGAAAAGGATTTCTCACCTTGGTCTAATTCTTTTGATACTTTGAAACTGTTTATTTTTCCAAAGTTAGTTGCTATGGAGAATTCTCAGTTATACAGGAGATTGTAGAATATAAATATTAGTTTATTGGGAATCTTGATTCTTTGAAACACTACTTTTAAGCTATCTAGATTAACTGAGTTGAATGTCTTTGTGCCTTTGCAATATCAAATGAGGCAACTCAAAGTTTTCTATTGAGATTGATAACTGTATTTAGGCTTGTGGTTGTGATTGCTAGTAGCTTCATGGTATTTTGTTCTGTTAGGCCTGCAAAGTTAACTTTAGATAAAATGTTATTTTTGACAAATGCTATTGAGACTCTTGTATTAATGATTTTTGTAAAGATCTTTTTGATAGATTCGATCAGAGATATTGGTCTTGTGTCTGCAATTTTTCTCGACCAAATAATTTTTTTTGGTAAAAGAACAATTGTTGATTTTTTCCAGTTTTGTGGGATCTGTTTGTTATCAAGGATGGAATTAAATAAATTTAGAAGTGTTTTCTTGGAATTATCACCTAGGCAATTGATTATTTTATATGTAATTCCTAAGTTGCTGAAGGTTTTGTTAACTGAAGTTTCATTGAGTATTTTTGTGAATTCATTGTAGCTGATAAATTCTTGGGATGCTTTGTAGATTTTAATTGATATAGTTTTGATAGAAGAGTATGTTTCCTTCCATGGTGTGTTTACTAGTGTAAAGCTACTTTCAGTAAGTATTCTTTTGAAGTGATTGTTAATAATTCGCTTAATTGAGTCAGAGTTGTCTATAGGTTCTTGTCTTCATCCTGTATTATATTTAAATTTAGAGAGGATTTTAGATCACCTAATATTTTTTTAATAAAAATTTTGAGTTTTTTCCAGAATTTAACTAAGTTGTTTGTGATGGCCTTGCAGATTTGCTTTGCTTGTTGCTCTTTGATTAGAATTCTTCTTAAGTGATTTAGTGACTTTTGAGAGGCTGAAGTATTTCCATATATTTTTTAATAAACAGATGCTATGTGTTTTGAAAAAGTAATCCCTTTCTGGCTTGGTGAGTTTTGCTTTTTTCATTTGCTCAATATTCTTTTGATATGATTAATTATTTTGAAATATTTGGCGCATTCTGATTTCTTGGCTTTATTCAGTTGTGGCTTTATTAAAGAAAGATTGTTATTGGTGATACTGGTTAGAATATGATTAAAGTTAGTTCAAAAAGGACAAGTAGTTATAGATATTCTGAGGTCTAATTCTTTTTTGAAATTGATTTTTTGCTGATCAGTTGCTTTTTTCCAGTCAAATACTTTTGTTTGACATCCAGGAGCTGCCAATTTGTATTTGAACCAGTTGAAAATTACTTGTACTTGCTTGTAGTCTGTGTTAATTGATAATGGGTTGAATATTTTTGCATCTAGGACTTTGAATCCCAGATAGTTGGTACATCAGATTTGATCAATTCTTGATATGCTTGTTTGGATTATATGTATATACTTTTTCTTTTTGTTCATTGCTTTAATGATATCTGTGTCTGACAGTTCGATATAGTCAACGGTACTGTTGTTATCCTTTATAAAGTAGTTGCATTCAAACTCAAGAATTTGTGTGATTTTGATAAATTTGAATTTATTTAGGTCTATGAATCTGAGGCAAGCCACAAATAGTGATGAGTTAAGAATCCATCTGATTTTCCTTTTGATTTTTCTGCTGATATATTTAATATCATTGATTTTTTTGTAATTCTTATGTGCTTTTGCTTCTAATTCTTTGTATTTTTTTTTATGATTTCCTTTAAGTAAGTCATTCTTAGTAAAAGACCTGAAGAAAGTTCTATCTCTTAGGAGGATTTTAGTGAAAATTGCTAAATAAGGTTCCTGTAGAACTG